TTCACAGCATCAGCATTCCCAACATGCCGCGGGAATTCCTGCCGCCCTCTCCCACCCCACAGACGGCCCCTGCTGTCCCCACCCTCAGCGGAGGCCAGGGCCCCGTACAAAAGAGCCCTGTTCCCTCGGGGCAAGGGTGCCTCATCCTGGGGGGCTTCTCGGGTAGGTGGGATGAAAGAAGAGTCTGGCGCTCCTGGCTGGACTTGGGAGTGAGGCCAGGAAGGCCCCCGGGGCTGGGAGTTGGTGAGTCCCTGGCACCCGGCTGCTCTGTGGGTCGCCTCAGGGTCGAAGCCAGGGTTCCAAGTGGCTGCCTTCCCTGGCCCTCACCGCCCTCTTCCCACAGACACAGACACATGCACAGTCAGACACATGCAAACGCTGGCATGAAATGTGACAGATCTAGACCCGACCAGAAGGAACAGGCTCACAACAGTGACCCGGGCACACTCCCGGGGGGCCCCCTGAACACACGGACGGGCCCTGAGACCCCTGCCCCTGCAGGAGCACCCCTGCACTGCCCTGCCTCCTGTCCACACACGCTCCCAATGACACACAGACCCCCACACACGCTGAGGGTCGCTAAGGACAGACCCACCCAGACACAAGCTGACGGACACACGACAGATACCAGCCTCGCGCCTGCAACGGGAAGGTGTGGGACACAGGTGAGGGCCAGTTACGGGGACGGGAGACTTGTGACCCAAGCATGCAGACCCTCTGCTTGTAATGGGGGCAGAAATTGGTTCTTGGGGTGGAGGCCAGGAAAATCTTAGCTGTCACAGTGAGCTGTGACTCCCTAACGGGCCGCCGTACATAGACATCTACTGTACGGCTATAGTAGTAGCATTTCGTGGGCAGAATCAGATTAGGAAAAATAGCTCTGAAATAGTTCCTTAGTGGGGTACAGTGAAAACAAGGTGGAGGAACACTGATGTAGATTAAGGCTCACCCAGGGGTGGTGTGTGTCATGCGTCCAGGTGCTGGAACTGGCTCACTCACAGCCCACTGCCCCCACCCCCTCACAGATGGCAGGACGCAGGTGGCTGATCACCTGCCCATCCTTCTGCTCTTCATCCAGCCCCCGACCACTGCCACCCCATCTGCCCCAAACTTAGGAGCCCCAGGGCAGCTGCTCCTGCAGCCCTTCCACCCAGAGATGCTGAGAAGAACCCCTCAGTCTTTCTCTCTGGGGGTTTCTTCCCTCAGCCCGGCCACTGTCCCTGCCGTGGTCCCAGCCCATTCCCAACGTGGTCCTGAGCAGCACCCGGCCCCATCCTGAACCAGCCGCACCCTCGGTGAGCATCGGTGGCCCGGAGCACCTGGCCTTGCACGTGCTGCTGTGCACCCTTTGCCCCACCCTCTGAGCCTGGCCCTTGGCTCCCCTCTCCGCTGGTCCCGGCCCCTCCGGGCCGCAGTACTCACTTGGATGCTCTCGCTTCTGCACCCTCCGCTCCACCGGCCCCGCTCACAGTCCCCTGGCTCGCAGGGTCCAGGCCCCCACTTGCCAGCCCATCCCCTCCCCCCGGGTGCCAGGGGCCGCCTGCCTCCAGGGCCCAGCTCCTCCCTGCCCCCGAGGGAGGGGGGCACAAAGGGGCCCTTGTCACCACCACTGGGACTGGGCAGCCTGACGCCTGGGTTCTACTAGCTCCTTCCTGGAGGGGACGAGGGGAGGCAGCCTCCATCGCGGCGCACCAGGGTCTGGGTCCCTGGAAGGGCCTTCTAAGATCTCTGCAAGCCTCAGGCTAAGAAACAGAAGGCTTTGTTCTCAGTGTCTAGGGACTCTTGGTGGCCCGAGCAGGTATAGGTCGGTCCCAAGAGGCCACAGAGTGGGAGCAGGAGGAGATAGGACCTGCCCACCCTTGATTTTCGTGTCACCTCTATCTTCTCTTGAGCCACTCCCTGGGTCACGTTTGGTGCCGACGTCCTGATCCATTTTCCAGACTCTTCTGACCGTCAGAAATGACCTTATGGATTGATTGTCTCCTCTCAAGAGAACATGATCTCCAGTAAGATAAGGGCTTCGCCTGCCTATTTCCAATCTATCCTGTTTGCAGACTGGCACCTGGCACAGAGTTAAGGTTCACAACCACTGAGTGGGTGCACGCCTTATTCCTCAAACACCAGCGGCACCTTCTGGCTGCAGACCTTTGCTCTCATTCCTTCCTCCTGGACCCCCACCCCATCCCACACCCCACTCTGCCTCAGGCCACAGCCTGCACATCCTACAGGCTCCCCACCCAGATGCCACTTCGTCTGGAAGCCTGCCCTGCCCAGCTCACCGAGCCAAGCCCCTCCACCCAGACGCTGCCCACAGCCTTCCGCACATCTGCCCATTGCCCTCTGGGCACCCTCCTTCTCTGCCCCCACAGGAGCTCCCAGAGGCCAGGGTTTCTGCCTGTCTGCTCTGCCCTCTGTCCCCTAGGACAGTGCCTCGTGCTCAGTGGGGCTTATAGAGGTCTCTGCTTACCCTTCGAGCTGGGTGAGGACCCACTGTGTGCAGACTCCGGATTCCACAGTGATCCTCCTCCCGCCCCCACCCCTCCCATAGGTCATGACCCTTGCAAAGTGCTTGAGTGTGGGGTCTGCGGAGGGAGCCAATGGTACTGTGATCAGGCATAGTCATGGTTTGACCACGAGCTGTTGAGTCACGCTGGAGCATCTTCTGTCCTTCAGGGCAGAGCAGTTTTGGGGGAGAGGGAGGGGGTCCTCTCTCCCAAGGGAGAACCCGGCCGGGCTGAGGAGGGTGAGGGGCAGGGAAATCCCTCAGACCGGGGTGTGTGGAGTCAGAGAAAGCTGGATAGAGGGGGAGGGGGTTCCCACCCCCACCTCAGGCTTCATGATGTCAGACTCTGCCCGTGCCTTTCCCAGGCAGGGACAAAGGCCCATTGAGAGTGGGGTGGGGCTTGAACGCCTGGGTCCTGGAGAAGAGAGGGGCCTTGGTGCTTGGGCTTTGGAGGAGGATGCTGAGCTCCTGGGGTATTCCTGGGTCACAGCCTTCAGCCTTGACACCAACCCCCTTGGGGTCATGTACCTATGCAGTTTGGGAGTCCATCGCCTCTCTAGGTGTGGATGGAAGGCTGACCCTGGGGGAGGGGTGCACGGTCAAGTGTGTCCACAGGCAGCACTGGCAACTACCGCTGAAATCTGCAATCCCAGGTCCCTGGGCCACAGGAGGATGGGGCGCTGGGGAGCCTGGGCCTGTCCGAAGGGGGAGCCACCACTCCGATCCAGCAGAGCCCTCTCAATGGGGCAGGTGTGTTAGAGCTGTTGTGAGAGAGCACCACAGACTGGGTGGCCTAAAAACAGAACTTATTGTCTCGCAGTGCTGGAGGTCACAGTCTGACGTCAAGATATTGGCAGGGTTGATTCTTCTGAGCACTGTGGGGAGGGATCTGTTCTAGGTTTCTCCCTTTGGCTAATAGATGACGGTCTTCATGTTCACAAGGCATTCCCATGGTGTTCACAGAGCCTCTGTCCAAATCCCCGCTTTGTATAAGGATACCAGTCCAACTGGATTAGGGTCCAACCTACTGACCTCATTTTAACTTGATTATCTCTATAAAGACCCCATTTCCAAATCAGATTGCAATCTGAGGGGCTGGGAGCTGGGATTTCAACATTTAAATTTGGGAGACGGGCGACACACACAACTCAGCTCATTAAGTCATAAGCAGCTGCACAGCCTGAGGAGCTGAACACTGCAGAAACTTCTCCTTTCTCAGATGAGGAGGCGGGGTTGCAGAGTGGAACAAAGATGTCTGCAAGGTCCGGAAGCTCATGGGAGGCCAAGCTGTCCACCTGCCTTCCTCTCCCCACCCTTCAGCCTCCATTCAGAAAAACCTCTCCAGGTGATGGGCCTCTTGTGGCTTACAAGACGGAGGGTGGTGGATGGGATTGATCTGGCTCCCAGCTGGGTTTAGTTTGGCTCCCAGAGTGTTGATTTAAAAAATAAAATCCCTTTAATCAGTTGGCAATATTGTAAAAATCAGGAAATTTCACCTAAAAATCAACATGGCCGCCTTCTCTTGAAAAGAAGCTCTAACCATGTTTGGCCTGCCTTTGGCCATGACAGCCATCTCCCGGTCCCCCTAACCATCTAACCCAGGCTTCCCTATCCATATGTGACACTGGGGCCCAAGAGCCAAGGCTGTTCATCACCATGCCTGTGCTGACATGTTCTTAGGGGGTAAGAAGAGAGAAATGCATCTTCTCTGTCTCTGTCAAAAGTGGGGAAATGGGATGAATTGAGAGGGATACGGTTTCGAGAAGATTGGGAGGGAGCTGACCTTCTTGTGGAGGTGAGCGATATTTTCCAGCACATCTCAGGGCCGGCGTGTCCTCCCTGAGAGGACGTAGCTTCCCGCGCTCCCCTGAAACCCAGCCACTGCCCCCTACTCCTTCACTGTGTCTGCCTGGAAGGCCAGCGGTTCTCCGACTTCTTGGTGCCAGGACCCCTTTCTGCTCTGCAGAATTATGGAGGACACCCCAAAACACTTCTGCTCAAGTGGGTTTGATCGACAGCTGCTTACTGTATCGGAAAACAGACTGGGATGTTTTCAAAGCCCAAGGCGCACGAGCACCCAAGCCATTATCATCAGAGCGGTGAGGTGACCCCACATCGCAGGGCCTGTACACCCATGACAGAGGCGAGGGACGGAGGCAAGTAACATCTTAGTCGTTTCCACCCAGTGGAGCCCTGCGAGGGGTTCCCCGGACCTTGCTGTGAGCACCCTTGTGAGGACTCTGAATCTGTTACCCTTGTTTCAAGAAAACTTCAATGAGAGGAAACTTGGTTTAATTTCCAGGCCCTGCTCTTGCAGCAGAGATTCTAGGGCTTCTGAAGAGGGGGAGGAAGGGAAGAACAGGAAACAGATTTCCTTCCCCGAGCCTCCGCGCCAAGCCCCGACCACGCCGAGCCCACACGCCCCTGCCCAGGCCGGGCCCGAAACCAACCTCCGGCGCAGGCCTGGGGCGGGAAGAAAGGACAGTGGACACGCTAGTATGGAAAACAGCAGACAGAACCAGCCATTTTATTCCAAGTCTGGTCACCGAGGGGTGGAGGGCGAGGCAGGAATAAATACGGAGTGGAGGGGGCACCGGGGAGGGGGGCGGCCGGGGCGCTCTACGTCCTGCAGCAGAACCCACACTTCGGTGTTTTACAGCAGCCGCAGCAGAATATGCAGATGGGGAAGTGGGTGTCTCGCCTCCTCAGCCTCCGGAGCTGGAACGTGGGCTGCAGGGAGGAAGGGAGAGTGAGCGGAGATCCAGAGATGGGAGCTGGGGCGCAGGGGAGGCCGGGGGAGGCTCAGAGGGGGGCAGGTGCTCTCACCGGCAGGCCCGCCTCGGCTCCAGCTGTGTCCTGGGCTTGGAGGTCTGTGAGCTGTCCTGTCTGCGGGAGCAGAAGGGGTGGTGAGCATGGCCAGGGCCCGGGGGAGCTCGCCCACCTGCCCCCCAACCCACCACCTGCTGCCCAAGTGTCGGTGTCCCGGGGCTCAGTTGGTGTCCCGGGAGCGGCCCTACGGTGCGGCTTCTCCCCTTCCCTCGGGCAGCGCCTCCTCTAGACATCCCAGGTGTGTCTCCTTCTCTCTCCACAGCTACTCTTTGGGGGACAGCGCCCTCCCAGCCCGATGCCACCCCTGCCTGCAACAGCATCCACTCAGTTCCGTTCCACTGGCCTTCTCAGAGTGAAAGCCTGCAGGGCCCCCCTTGTGGTCGCTCTCCTAGCATCATAATTTTCCGTTACTCATGAAGAGCATTTACTAAAACAGTCACCTTGTTTTAACTGGTCACTAATTCCCTGACCGAGACGTAAGCTCCGCGAGAGCAAAACTCGTCTCTCGGCTCCCGTGCTCGTTGCGTGATCCCCACCGTGCAGAATCGGACTTAACACAGGCAGGGGTGGCATCGGGCCGCCCGTCCATCGGGTGGAGGGGGCTCGGGGCCCTGGTTCTCAGGGTCCCATCCCTGCACTTCACGCAGCTGCCCGTCGTGCCCCCTTTTCCATCCCTGAGCTCTGTGTGGTGCTAAGGGATCCCCAGCCCCAGGGACTGGCTCTCCCGGAGTCTTGGCCGCCGGGTCGGGCCCAGGCCCCGTGGGCTCTCACCTGGTGTAGAAGGACTGAGCCACTGGCCACGCTGGCCAGGAGGAGGAGCAGGAGGCAGGCAGCCTGGATCCGCGTGCTCAGGGCCATCGTGCTGTCCGTCTGGCTGTCCTGCTGTCAGGTTTCAGACTTGCTGTGGTGCCTGGGGCCCCGATTCGGTTGCTTTTATGGGTCCTTCTGGGGAAGGCGGGGGTGCTGAGCCCCCTCCCCTTTGTCCTAACTCATTTCCAAGAAGGTGGTGGCGCCGACAAGACGGGAGATAAGCGGGAACAGAGGGACAGGGAACAGTGTTATGTCACCCTTAGCCAGCAGAGGTGTGTCCAGGGGGTGGGGCAGACGGGGCCACAGACACACACAGACACACGCCTCTAGCCAGCCACCTGGGAAACACTTTCTCTGACATGCCATCATCTGTTGACGGCGGAAAAAAAAAGTCCCCCCTTTGCCCCAAGAGTCGAACAGATCGATGAGCAGGTGAGGTGACCTCTATTCTGCACTCTTTCCGGATGTCCGCGTCCACAGGAAGGCTAGGCTGGCTGTCACTTGTGGGTCCCTCGGGGGTGCCCAGCACAATTCCTACTGCTTCAGGCTCCCTTCGCGCCGGCAGGGATTCCGGCACGAAGCACTGGGGCAGCCAGGAGCAGCTCGTGTCGGCACAAGCCCCCAGCGAGTGTGGTTTTCTGTTATCAGAAAATATATCTGGAAAACGTCCCCGTGCATTTTGGGCCAGGGTTAGCAGTGGCTGACATCGGGTGCCCGCCTCTCCTATGCCGGCAGACACGTACCGACCCGCTTTTGTGTTACCCCAGCCTGTGCCACCTGTCCTCTGAGCAGCTCCTGCCTGCCCCGTGCTGGGCTCTGCTCCGTATTCAGGGGCCAGGGCCCGAGCTGCCTGCTTAGCCACCGACCCCAGGGGCCCGGCTGCCCAGACCCTGCTCCCTCTTAGCACCATGCCCACCCCATGACTTGCTTTCTTCACTTTCTGGGAGGAACTGGAAGCAGAGATTGGGGAACTGCCCAAGCTCACTCAGGCAGAGGCAGGAGCTGGGATTCCAGTGTGAGCAACCTGACCCGGGGCCCATGTTCTCCCCATTTGGCTTTCCCGGCTCCCCACAAGCACAGGCGGCCACAGGGGACTGTGCCAGGCCTGGGTCCCACGGCTCCATGATCATGCGCCCCCGTCCCAGCAGCGCGTTGCGAGACATCACCCTGGCACCTTGCATCCAGCAATGGTGTATTTAAAGCACAGACACCGGCTGACACTACAAACCTGGGCCTTTCTTTTGGAGAGCCAGTTCTCCAGCAGGTCACTGGATGGAGATGAACCAGGTTGCCTGACCGTGGCAACCTCACTCCTACCCACTCTGAACCGTCTTTGGGTGCACATGTCCCAGGGAACCATGAACCTCGATTCCACATAGGCCTTTGGGCATGTTGCCTCCCTGACTCACTCTGGGACCACCCGGGTCAGCTCTGGCATGAGAGCCTGTGGACGATGCTGCCAAGGAATGAACACTCTTCCCAGCCCTGAACTGCTGCCAAGGCCCACTCAAAACCCACAAAACTGGGGGGTGTGGGGTCCAAGGAGTGAAGGCTGCTCCCTGCCCTCTGCCTCCCGTTCACCCCATGTGAGGCTCTTCCTGCTGCACACACCCTGGCTCTAAGACGGCCTCAGATGGAGGAAGAAAGGGAGACGGGGTTGTCAGGGGGAAGACCAGTTGGGAGGATCTGGGTTAGGACCGGATGGAGGGCTCAGCCAGGTGACCAGGCCGGCCGGACTAGGTCCAGGGAGTTGCATGGGGCCGCGGGCTGCAGCAGAAGGCAGCAAAGGGCCCGCGCTCACCCATGGGGAGAAGCAGCAGTGTTCCCCAGCACTACCCCGCATCACTGCATCTCAGCTCAGGCCAGGTTTCGTCATCAGCCAGGGCAGGGGTCACAGTACAGGCGCCAGAGCCACAGTATGAGGCGACAGGCTGACGGGCCAAGCCTGGCTTCCTGGCCATCTGCCCTTCCTGGGGGTGGGGGGCTCAAGGCCAGGCCCCACCATTGGCTGGTACAGAGGGGAGGGCTTCAACCCCTTAAGGGCAGGGTCAGGAGCCAGTTCTGTTTTTAGTAACAGATGACAGGAGAGACCCCAGCCTCTCCTCCAAACACATGTGCCATGTCCTTGACCCTAGCTTCCCACGCCCTCACACCACATCTGCGCACCTGGAGCCTCAAAGAGGATATCCATTCCTTAATTTCTCTGCTCATCCGCCCAACAGCCTGGGGACCAGGTGGGAGAGGATGGCAGGGACCCGCACACAGCCACACAAACAGCGGCCGAGGCACCAACCACCCTCATGGAGCACCGCACAGACCCTGGGCCCCCTTCCCATACCCGAGATGGACAGATACACAAACAGACAAGGCGGGGCCACATGGGGCCAGTTTATTGCAGTTAAATACCTCTCTCTCTCTCTCTATTTTTTCGTCCACTTTTCCATAAAGAAAATTAAAACACACACACACACTCAAAGGGGAGCAGGGATCCAGAAACAAGAGGTGGGGTGGGACATGGCCTCCCTGCTCAGGTCCAGGCCCCGGGGTGGCCCCCCTAAAGGCTCCCCTCCTTCCCGAAAGCACCCTGTCTCAGTACCTCTAGAGACCAAGGAGGCAGCGGGATAGGGCAGGGCCTGTGTCCTCCTCCCTCTTGCCTCCAGGCGAGACCACTAGAAGTGCTGGGGCTTTAGTGGGGGCCGAGAGAAGGGAGACAGACAGGGGAGGGAGGAGATCGCTTCTCAAGTTGAGGAGAGCGGTGGGAGCTTATCCACAGAAATGCATTATTTCTCCCCGTTTTGTTAAAAATCTACTATAAAAAAACGCAGCTGGGGGAGGGGCGTCTGTCCCTCTCTGTGCTAAGGGCTGGGGAAGGGGCGGCAGGGGCCGGAGGAGCCCCGCCGCGCCGCAGGCTGGGCGTCACTGCCGCGCACTCTCGCCCACCATCTCCAGGTTGTGCTGCTGCAGCTGGGCGCGGAGCACGGCGTTCTCGTTCTTCAGCTCCTCGATCTGGCACACAGGACACGACAGGGCACAGGACAGTGGACGAGGAGCGGGCTGGCTCCCCTGCACCCGGCCGGCTGCCAGGCCCGCGCCCCGCCCCGCCCCTCACCTGTTGCCGCAGGAGCTCGTTGTCCATCTGCAGCCTCTCGGCCTCCTTGAAGGTCTCCTGCATGCGCTGGTTGGTCTGGCGCAGCTCCCGGATGTAGTCGCAGGCCTTTGACAGGATCCCTCCTTTACTCTGGGGGGTGGAGGGGCAAGAGCACCGCTGGTGGGCACCGCTGGAGGGCTCAGCATCCAGGGGACAGCTCCTGCGCCCAGGAACCCCCCCTTTCCCAAAGGGCCGGGGGCACTCACCGCTCCCGTCTTGCTGTTGTCTGCGTTACAATCTGGAATGATTTTTGAAAGTTGGACGATCCAGTTGTTGATCTTGTCCCTCCGCCTCCGCTCCACTGCAAGGGTAATAAGGGCAGGGGCTCAGGCCGTGCTCCCTGCACCCCGGCGGGGACCGTGAGGCAGGAGGAAGGGCTCCCTCCCCCTGCCCCCTGCCCCAGGCCGGTCTGGGTGAGGGCAGACCCAGAGGCCGGCACCCCCTCACACTGCCTCTCAAGAGGAACCCGGTGCGGCCTCAGGGGCCACACACACACCTTCAGGCACAATCGACGCTGGAGGCAGCGGGTGCATTTTGTTTACCCACCGGGCATATTTTAAAAAATCTGAGCCAAGATTTAAGTTAGAAAACCTCACATAATCATTGGTGCCTTCTGCAAAGCAGAGCTGTGGCTCGTGTTCCTGGGAGGCAAGAATGGGCCAGAGCCCCTTCCCACGGGACCCCAGTGCCCCTGTCTGGTCCTCCACAGCTGCTGCCTGATTTTCCACGGTCCTTGGGCCTCTCGAGCTTTGGGCTCCACAAGTTTGGTTCTTCACCTTTAAAATCGCTGTCTGACCATGTCTCACCCCCTGGTTAAAATCTTCCTCCGGAGCCCAAGCAGCAAGACCCCAGCTGCCCAGGCCGGCACTGTGGCTCCCAGGGGCCTGGCCCCATCAGGTGTGCACCACCCAAGGGCAACGCGAACCCTACCCTGAAGGCCAGGGCGAGCGAACTCATGGAGGACTCTGCTTACAAAAGTCCAGATTTGTGATTTTGTCCCATTACACTCGGCAATCTCACCCAGAGTGTCAGCTGGCTTGAGTGGCAGCCGGCCCCGTTCAGACGGGGCATGTGCCTTCTCTCTAGGGCTTCTCATCCAGCTCATGTCATGGCCTTATGACAGCAGCTTTGGGGCTGCCTGCATTGGAGCCCAAGACCATGGCTCAGCGCTTACGGAAGCAAAGCTGTGCCAGAACCTTCCTTACCTCCCAAGCACAGTACTAGGCACTGGTGTGGACACACAAGAAAGCCCAGTCACCTGCCCCAACTGTCACACGCCCTCACCCCTCCTGCCAGGACAACTCATGGACAACTGTAGGTAGTGTTTGTGGTGAGAATAAGCCTATAGGTGGGATTTGGAAAGCAGGGCAAAGGGTATTTTCTCCAGGCTGGGCGGTGCCGATGGGGGTCCCAGAAGGGGGTCTGGGTGAGAGTGAAAAAGGAGGGTGGGCCAGAATCACACCCCTTACTCCTCATGGCCTCCGAGGCTGGCACCTGCCCCTTGACCCTGCTGTTCTCACAAACAACATGCCTGGCCCCTAAGAGGCAAATCCCACTGTGGGCTCTCGGCACTCGGCTTCGTCTGCTCAATGCCACCCAGTCCTTCCCCACCTCCAAGTGCCTCATTACTGCTGGGGGGAGCTGAACCTCCCCACCGAGGATGGCCGTGTCCTACAACCTGCCAATTCTGTGGCTAAAAATCACCTAAGAGCCAAGAATCCGGCCCAGGCCAGCGGTACTGCCCACCCGGTCCCCAGCAGTGTGCTCTATTCCCCAGGCGTCAGCAGAGGGCTTCTCAGCTGCCTGCACATCCCTGCACACCGTCTGGCATTCTCAAGCCGGGGCACCACCGTGCTGTGCGGGGTCTCCTGCCATCCCTCCCTTCGGGCCACCAGAGGGCGGGGCTGGGGGCCGGGCATGACTTTTGTAGTTGGTGTTTGCTTTCCTGCCCAGTGTGCCCAGGGGAGCTCAGTAGGTCGAGCAGCCGACTCTTCTTTCTCGGTTCCAGATGGGGTTGTGATCTCAGT